GCTACTAGCCTCTTACGAAGAGTGAGCAGTAGTAGTTTTAGTTGGATTTTTTCCATGCCTACATTGATTAATACAAGGATGAATTTAAAATGTAATTTCAAAAAATACTAAGTGTCTTACATTTTTTATATAGTTATATGACTGAATCATTTTCTAGTATTATCCAGCTCAAATGAAAGTAGCAAGTGTTCTATATTTTGGACCAAGTTTAGATGAAAAAAATCTTATAATTTGAACAGGACGGAGTATATGTTTGTGTATTATTAGTTAAAATTATTTTTATAGTCACCATAAATATTTTAAAAACTAATTTTACTATCTAAGAATCATAAAAATAATAAATTAAATAATACTCTCACCAGTAAATGGTGAAAATTGATCCTAGTGGTGCAGAAGATTTTTTTTTTTTTTTTTGCCTTGGCAAATGGTGCAGAAGGTTATACCTAGTTTTTTTTTTTTTTTACTTGTATCATTTCGGGAAGCAATTGTCTTGAAAATAAAAAATAATTAAAAAATGAAATGAAAAAAAAATATTAAGTCAAAGTCAGTACATGTTAGAATATTGAGAGATGACTTTTCAGTGGATTCTAGATTTTTTTTTTCCCTTACAATATATAGCCAATGCTTGATGACATAATTTAAGCCTCTTTTTTTTTTTTGGCCCTTGTGACAATATTATCGGCATTGTATGCTATTCGCTAGCTTGAGTTTAAATTGAGTCCACTTAGGAGTGAAAGAAGCTGTCAATATAATTTATCTCAATTATCAATTTGGTTGCTTAAATTTAATTTTTATTAATTTGGTCCCTTAATGTTCACCCCAATTGTCAATTTAGTTCTTGTTGTTTAAGAAGGAGGCAAAATTGTTGACATAAAAAGCAGAATATTAATGGCAGTTATATATAGATTAATGAAAATAAGTGAAATTATTTAGATAGAAAAAGAACTGACACAATTTTAAAAAAAAAAGGAATAAAACACAGTGTAAGAGATTATTCTTTCTAATTTTATTTATAAGTTACTTCTAGTATATTTCACCAGAATTAAGAAAAACCTTAAATTTTATTAACTTTGTCTTAAAATTTAACAATTTTTCACATTACGCTTAATAAATATTCTTAAATCTTACTACTGATATTTTTATTCAAAACATTTAATAAAGACAAAAATGTCAATAATAGAATTGAAAATATACAAGTGCTCTATAAATAGAATCAGATTTTTCTTCCCTCTTGACCTTATAAATAGGACAAGAGGAGTACATTGATAAAAATCAAATTGATTTGAGAGTTAATTTGTTTTCATTTAACTATATATACATGTTAAGCCATCAATATACTTTATACGTTAGACTAATTTGAGAGTTAATTTGTGTTTTAAAACTTAATGAACTAACTTGATAATTTAAGAAATATAAGGAATTAAATAGATAAAAAATAAAATTGAGTGACCTAGTAAATGAAGTAAACTTGAAGGGGTGATTCATTATCCCATAATTTTTCTCTTAGCAGCATAATTGGAATTTAATAGTGTCACGTTAGATACGAAGAACTTGCAGAAGCGTGCAGGGTTCAAGAGCAAATTGATAGAGACTGGACAATTTTGATCCAATACTGTAGAAGATGCCTCACTTGTTTCTTCGAACGGACGAAAATGAAAATGCTTTGTCCACAAGAGATGCTTCACTGCTTTTCTTTTCGTATAAAACATTATTTTGTAATATTATATAATTATAAAATTTGAAAAATAAATCATATCATGTTATTTATGTTTTGTGAAATTCTGAATTATTGTGAATTTCGTTATAAATAGCTATCTTTATTGATATGTTTCACTACATTGATAATGATGGCTATGTTAAAGAGATATTGTTAAAAAAATGGGCTAAAGATTATGTTTCTTCTTAAACTTTTTTTTATAAGTGCTAAGCACATATACTGAATAGTGAGACAATATATCTCCTCTAAACAATTTTTTAGAAGAAAAATTATCCTTTCATTAAAGACCTGTTATCTTCTTCATTATCTATTAATATGAAATAATTGAGGGATCCACACGCAATGATAGCAAGGTGTTCTAATTCATTTTGACTATTAGACATGCCCCAAAGGGGCCAGGAGTAGCAGTGGCAGGAATCGAGAGCCTGATTTTAGAAACAGCAATAAGATAAATCAAAATGTCTTGTTGTCTATATAATGGGTCTCACAAGTATTGCTTGTCAACTGATAACAAAGAAAATGATAAGTTTTATGATGGAAGAATGATTTTGCTTCTAAAAAATTGTTTAAGAAAGATATTACTCCACCTTCTAATACAAGGTTTCCAAAATTAATATCGATGGTACAATCCCAAATCTATCAAATGTATCATTCCCTCCAGCAATATGTTTTCAACCAAAAAAGTATCACATTCTTCCGAATCCAATACCTCTATATGATAGATGTGGCAATTTCAAATCCAATAATGACAATATGCCGTCTTGAATTTTAGAAGCGAAACAATATTCGATGTAATAATTAAAGAGAGAACATGAAACCTGCTGGTTATGCCATTTAATTTATTTATAAGCCGGATCTGATAATCATGAAGTATCATTATATAGACTAAAGTACATTTTTAAAAATGAGTTGCAAATATTAATTCAAACAATTATACACAGGAATTCTAGATACAATCTGAGAATTATATTTGAAACATAAATGTGTATTATCTACCATTAAATTTCCTGAATTTGTAATTACTTAAATTGATATTTTCAATTTATTTTTCAAAAAAATTTATCAGGGGATTTAAATGCCATTAATTCAAAATTTTGGGACTTAATTGTCATTCTTTATAATTATATAATACTCCTTCCATTTCATAATATAAGTCTCTTTTTTTAAAAAAATTGTTTCAATTTATAGATTTTCTTAAAAATCCAAAACATAATTTGTGAATATTTTCTTCCCGTTATACCCTTGTTTATGAGTAATGTGGAAATTTTTTAATTCATTAAATTCGGAGAAAATTTTATGTGGTCAATATTTTAATGCGTTTATTGCAATTTTTTAATATTTTTATCAAAATCTTAAAAAGACTTGTATTTTGAAATAAATTAAAGGGAGAAATATATTTCCTTCAATCCCATACATAAGTCATATTCTAGAAGAAATTAATAAGTAATCTTTTCTTATAAATCAAGGTTGTTGAACTCACAAGTTTAAGTAAACTCATGATAAAAATGTAAACTCATATCATAAACTTGGATTGTAAACTCATAAGAGTTTACTTCTGTTAACAATTAACCATTAAAATATGACAGTAATTTAATTTAAATATATTAAAAATATAAATTATTAAAATTAAACCCATCTATATTGATAAATTATCATATACAAAATATAAAAATGTTAAAATAGGGAAACTTATTTTTGGTTTTTTTATTTTTTTATTAATATTAGTTTTTGCATTTCAAGTTTTTTTCTTTGAACCAAGTGTTATAATTTTTATGAATTAAATAATTTATAATATATACTTAAATTACTCAACTCAAAAAAAATTGATAAACTTAACAAGTTTAATCAAACTTGCATCTAGTCTAAGTTTATAAATTAATTAACATAATTTTGTAAGTTAGAAATATAAAAACGGTAAACTTAAAAGCAAACTTATGAGTTTAATCGAGTTTATATTAATTTGAATTTATAAATGAGTTGACACGATTTTGTAAGTTAAAAATATAAAAACGTTAAACTTAAAAAATTAATTCAAGAATTTGACAACTATGTTATAAATCACTTTTCATATAAAGATATATCATTAATTATTTTCTTCTAATTTTACGCTTTCATTGGTTTCTGTTGGTAGAGTAAAAAAATTATATATGAGAGAGGAAGTGTTTTTGAAGATAATGCATTTAATAGGAATAAATTAGGAATTTTTTTAAGAGAACATCAATAACGTAACTGCTTCTTTTTGGTTTCAGTAAAAAAAGTTTTAATAAATCCATTTGTTGTTATATATAGCATGTCCCCTCATGCATTTTCGAACATTTTATTTTAGAACAAACCTTACATGTTAACAAGTAAAATTTTCTAAAATGACAAGTGGAGTTGGAATTTTTAACAAATCCATTTATTTCTTGATTTTATCTTTCGGTATCCTGAAAAACCCAAATGAAAGAATGAGGATTGGATTTGGGATTGGTATTGGTATTAGAAAATGTCCAAATTGATATGTTTGGAAATGTCCAAATTGATATGTTTGGTATGAGGGATGGAGGCTAACTTGAGATTGCTTAATCTCATTTACACAGGTTTACTTAAACCAGAGATTGGAAATTTTTTAGACAAAAATATTATTGGTTACAATAATTTTCAGACAAAATTTTCGCTCTAAATTTTGCCCCATATCACTCAATGTCCATGGCCGCAGTACCAAAGCAGAGCATTCTCTTCATTGTTGCTATATGGTATTACCACCTCTCTTCCAAACTAATTTGAGGCCCCACCATGGGGGATCGTTAGTACAAACGATGGCCTCACAAGTACTTCAAGAATGTTTTTAACATACTTATTTAACATGACTGCATTTCTTAGGACTTGAACTCCAAATCTTATGATAAATTGATTCAATTCTTTCAGCTAGTTAAACCAAATACATCTCAGTTTTTAACAAGTCCATTTCTGTTTGCCAAAAAATACAAGTCCATTCTTGCCATGTTTGTTCGGATAGGGACATTGACTTTTTCAGAGACATGTAAGCAGATTTAGGTGAAATCAAATAAATTTGCATGCACGTTAATCTGTGGATAGAGATAGAAGGAAAATGTTAAAAGCATTCTAAGGAACGGAAAACGAAAATTAAAAAAAAAATCTTCTATTGAAAATTAAAATAGAGGGGATCTGAAACATTAAATAGTTAATCTGGCTGGATTGAAGAACGATAGCAAGAAAATAAAAATTGGTTTGCCTTGATATTTATATAATAATTATCATTAAACAAATTAAACACAAGATATACATAATATTTACATCGTAAATATATATATATATATATATATCCAATTTATTCTGATAATACGTTAAAAAAGGGAATTAATCGTCACATTGGAATTAACAATCATGCATATATCCTTTTTATTAACTAAAGGTAATATTTGATACCTAAGAGTACAAAGCTCTCCAAAGATGCTTAGCCATTGGAAAAAACATCTTTCTCTTGTACTGCGAATGAAAAATCTGGTGACGTTTAGATTTCCTACAAATGTGCAAAAGGGGAAAAAATTAATAGTAATCAAAAACCATGAAACGACAATTCATACAGAGGAAGCACACAGGCTCACCTTGTCGTTTTATTTGTGTAATTGGTCTTCTCTTTGAACCTTCTCAGGTGCTTCCTGGGTGGCTCGTTTGGATGAGAAGCTATAGCTTTTCGTTTCAATGAAGTTGTTGAAGCATTCATGGAGAGCAGAGGAGACTTGAACTGGATATTCTCCATGTTCGTTTGTCGCTTATCCACATAAATACCACAGTTCACTATGGAGAGATCAGGTGGGTCACATGTAACTTGTATGTCCACGTCATTCCAATCCAATCCCAGAAACTTATTAAGCTCCTCTAACTCTTCACTAAAGTCACTAAGCAGATCAAAGAAATATACATGACCTTGATCACCTACTTTATACAAAACACGACCCCTTTTCCTTGCAACACGATCAGTTTGTATCCATGGCATTTTATTACAACCGTTGATGCTCATAAAAACTTCCACCATGTAAACCCACTTTGTGTTTGCTTTCCCCGTCTGGTATGCGAAGACGATACGAGGCATATTTCCACGAACACGAAAAGACAATTTTGCTCCTTTACAACAATAGTCTAACCAATCAGGAAATGTTGTTGCCGGCATAACGATTTCCATGGCAAAGCCCTCTTTCGCCTGATTTATCAAAACAGTAGCAACAAAAGGCATTTACGGCTTTGAAAATGACAATAAAATAATACTATTTAAATAGCAATAGCAGTCAAGAACTAATAGGTCACTTTTCTTGGTATATCTAAACATTGGTTTTGAGTTACTCGGAGCTTTTGGGATCATCAGACGTAGAGAGCGTGCCTTCTGGGGACGGGGGAGTTTTGAATATGAGTACTACTATTCTTCTCTACTATTTAATTTTCCTATTATTTATTCTTTATTAGTGGGATTTATATATAGAACTGCTTCTATCATTATATTTATATTTATGTTTCTAAATTCTCCAATTATGGGTAAGGATGTAGCTTGATGAGGAAATTAATTTGGACTGATTGTTTTGACTCTCTATGGATTTTTTTTATTTATAAACATATTATGATTTTTCCAATTTTATCATTATTTGACCAATAAATAAATTTATGGGTAATCTTAATGAACTAGTGGTATATTGAGAACTTAGATCCAAAAAAATAAACACAAATAACTAGGGTGGGAAATAGTGTTAGGAATATTGAAGAAGAGAATATTAATAACAAAGATGATGATGAAAGTCAACTCATCAAATGATAATGAAAATGACAAACCCTTCTTGTGTGATTTAAAAAGAAACAGGAGAATGACAGTTAGATTCCATAACATTGAATTAATGATAGTTAAGTCCCCAACAAATTTTTTAAAAAAAATAAATTGAAAATATCGATCCAGATAATTACAAATCTAGGAGTTTCAATTGCAAATTTTGTAGATTGTAATAGAAATTTTTGTTTATAACTATTTAAATTGATATTTATAATTTATTTTGTAGAAAATTTTGCTAGCAATCTAACTATCATTAATTCACTCCTTTGAGACCTAATTGTCATTCTCCCAAAATAAACTACATTACCCTTTCTCGAAGGGTGTTAAACCAACCCCTACTTTAAAGTAAAACAATAAGGTGAGAACCATGTTAACCTCCCTACTTTCTAATTTAAAGTTGTGTCCTTTATATACACATTAGGGTCACTAACTAACAAGTGATTAACATCTAATCACTCCTAATATTCCAACAAATAGTTCTAGAGGTTAGCGATGACTTAATAGTTACTCCTTAGATTCTTTTTATAAATAATTTTCAACATGTTTCACTAGAACTAAAAAAAACTTTAAAATTTAGTAAATCTATTTAAAAATTTAATAAACTCTCAATTTTTTTATTAATATTAAATATACATACTTTAATAACATATCTTCTCTCACGAATATTTAATGAAGGATAAAATGAGAAATTTTGTGATAAAAATTTAATAATGTAACTTATAAATTAGACAAAAAAAAATCTTCTCTTCTGCCTTATATAGGACTCGAAGGAGTGAAGCTATTTTTTCACAGTTTAATTATAGTTTACTGCAATCCCATATGATTGTGAGACCGATCATTAATGTCTATCTTACCAGTCACACTTGATTAATTTGATTAATATTTAAAATAGCAAAAGAAAATGAGAATATATAAGCATCAGAAAAACCTGAGACCATAAACGGCCTATCGATTCCATAGTTAATGACATGCAGTTCTCCGCAGCTATGTGTTGCAGCGATGATGGCAGCTCCACTATGTCTCTTAGCCTCTTGCAGTTAGTCAGAGATAGTCTCTCCAAATACGCACACTCTTTAATGCACTCAGGAAGTGACACAAAATCATTCCCTGATAGATCCAGGTCTTCCACATTCTGAAAACATTTCAAAGTCAGGTGAAGATCTTCATCCAATAGACCGAAATTTCTGAGATTCAAGGTTTCTATATTTTCACAGCAAATAATTGATTGACTCTGTTGCATCATTGTCTTCAAAGATTCTCTACCAAGAGAGTGAATGCCTTCCAACCCAAGATCCTCAAGATTTGGCAACGTCAATAGGCTATTTGGAAGCTCCCTAAGACTTGTGCAGGAGCTTAAATCTAAACTACATAGCGGTGGAAGATTTCCAATGGAAGGTGGGAGCTCTTTAATAGCGGTCATAACTGCAGAAACTATAAAGAGATGTTCCATCTTTCCCACTATATGTGGGAAGTAGTCAAGACTCTTGCAAAATTCGAGGTTAAGCTCTTGAAGAGATGCCATGTTGATTTCATGTGGAAAGCTTGTAAGTATAGGGCATTCACTAACATCTAATCTTTCAAGCTTGCTGAGGGATCCCACTGAATCGTGAACTTTGGTCAGATTCAGACATTTATTAACGATCATTGTTTTTAAATTTTGCAACTGAGACATATCTGGTACTTCGGTAATGAATTGACACTTTGAGAAATCCAAATATGTCACATGTGTCATGAATTCAGACTTCTGCCAAAAAAAAAAAACATTGTCTTTTGAGTAGAATTCAATCATTCAGTTTATCTAAACCAATGCAAACATACCACTCACAAAAAACTAGTCTCTCCGAACCATAATATAGGATATTGGTAATTACAATTCATGGTTCTCAAAAAAAGGTAAAACCTCAGTCTCTTAAAATTTTTTACATCTTTTTAATTATACCCCAACTTTTCTAATTTTCACAATTGCTAACTATTAAAAACGAATAGCTATAGTTGTAAATTGGGAATGAGGTTGTCTCCCAAAGTCTCAATTTTGAAGAGGCCCAACTTTTCTTTTTCTCACAATTGTCTACTGATAAAAATGCTTAACTTTTGTTGTGAATTACCAGTAACCTCACTTAGGAATGAGGTTGTCTCTCGGTGTCTAAGTCATGGAGAATCCCGACTTTCCTTTTTCTCATAACCTTGGGGTTTAAACTACTTAAATCGCATCTCATTATATTATATTGGGTTTGAATTCCAAGTAACCCACTTATAAAAACCAAGCAACCTTAGAGATTAGATAGTCTCCCTGTGTGTTTAATTATCATATGTAGCTCAAGTGTACCACCCTATAATTTTTAATCCAAGTTTTAAGTTTAATCAATGGAGTTTAGGGCTAATTGGATTCTATTAATGTCATGGAAGATGTTTGGACTTAATTGTCGAAGTCTTTAAGCCCTAATATACACAATTGAGGCCCAAAACCCACTCCAGATAGTTGAAGCACATGGATAGCATGTGACACTAGTGCAAAAGGCATTTTTTGCCACAGTTATATGACATTTTTCATGACAAAAAATGATGTGTAATAGAAGATTGTGTAATAATAAATGAAAACCTTTTATCATAGGTCAATTTGAAACTATGATAAAAACTTCTATTTTTTGCCACAGGTCAATGTGAGATCTGTGGGCCTGTGATAAAAAATAATATTTTTTACTATAAGTAATAAAGGACTTGTGATTAAAAATATCATCTTTTGTCACAAGTCTTTTATAACCTATAACGAAATATATTATTTTTTATCACAGTTTCAAATTGACTTTTGGTGAAAAATGAGCTTAACGCAATTTTTGGTGACAATTGCTATTATTTGGATTAAACATCTATCAAGACAAAATATATTTGTTTGATAGGTGCCATATATAGTCAACATTGTTTAATTTTAAAAAAATTGAATCAGCTGAGGGTTGGACAGAATTTATGGTGATAGGTATTAAGAGTGTCGTCATAAATATCATTTACGACAACAAGCCCATGTTTGACTGTCGCTATAAATGCTAAAAAAGAATTAAAAAAAATGTGCATAATGAGCTTGGGGTTAAGGACAGAATTTAAGGCGTCGGGTATTTGAAGCTCTATCGCTATAAATATGGAGCTGAGGTATTTACGACGACAAACACCTGGCTGCCTGTCGCTGTAAATTCTATTTAATGTTCCAATAAATACGTCTTATTCCACACATGCGTTAATACTGCATTCATACATTATTAAAATAAAATTAATTACATTCTAAATAATATCTCTTATAAAATTCAAATTAAAATTAAAATTAAAATATTTTAATTTATCATTTAATAATTAATAGTGTCTGAATACAGACACAATTAATTAAAATTAAATACTTGAACTCATCTTTTTCAAAAAAAAAAAAAGTTTTGACAAGTGGGTATTTACGACAACAATCAATTGGATGCCTGTCGCCGTAAATGCTACTTGATTTAAAAAAATTTTAAAAAAAATGTGGGCAACAAGCTTGGAGTTAAAGATAGAATTTATGGTGATAGGTTTTTGAAGCCCTGCCGTCATAAATAAGGAGCTAGTATTTACGGTGACAGACATATGGTTGCCTATGTCGTAAATTCTATTTAATGTTCCAATAAATATGTCTTGTTTCAAACGCACATTAATGCTACATTCACGCCTTAATAAAATAAAATTAATTACATTCTAGGTAATATCTTTTATAAAATTAAAATATAAATATAAAATATTTTAATTTATCATTTAATAATTAATAGTGTCTAAATACAGACACATAAATGTGTCTGATTTCAGACATTATTAATAAATTAAGTTATTTAATTAATTTAACATTTATATTCAATTAAATGTGCCTTAATAAAAAAACAACTAAATATTTAATTGATAATTTATTTTAAGTAATTGAATCATTTAATTTGATCTAATATCCATTTATGGTGACAGTTTAATTTAAGACTGGTAAAAAATGATGCATTTTTTAACTTATTTACATCTATGCCATTGAGTCTTATATTACCACAGTTTTTTGATAAATTGTGGCAAAAAATGTGTAGTTAAAATTATGGTTTGCACCAGTGGTAATTGGTATTATTTGGCTACTTTTACATCTTGAAATGTAAAAGAAAGAGCAAACCCTAGATGGAAAAGAGAGGAGTTTCGAGCTCTAGAGTTTGTAACTTCTTATGATTTAGGCTGATACTGAAAGATGAATGGAATGAGAGGTAATGGCTCTAGATGGTGCTTTGTGGCTCTCTCTTAACATTGGTATGCAGCCATAGAGCCGGGCAAACAGGTTGAGCCAACGAGCTAGCCCATTTAACCCGCACAATTTGATGGGTTGGGTTGAAAAAATTAGCTCATTTTTAAAAACAGGTTGGATTAGCCCAACCTGCAAAATTAGCGAGCTAAAACAGACTAGCCCATGGGCTAAACGAGTTGGCCCGCGGGCTAGCATATTTTTAAAAAATAATTTTTTATTTTTTAATTATATTATATCTTTTTATAAATCTACAATAATGATAATATTTCTTAAATATATAATTTATGACTCTCAAATATGTTCTTTACATTTGAAATATAATGTAAATTCTTTTTACAATTTGCAAATAAAATTTTTATTACAGTTTGTGAAGATGATTTATTAGTTTTTATAAAAATATTTTAAATATATATTATTTATTAATATCATAAAATCTATTTATTGAAATTATAAATATGAATTCATTGAGAAAAATAATATGGGTTTATATTCAAATTTTTTTCAATGACAAAGATAGCACACCTAGGCGAAAAGATAATTGATAGTAAAAATCTAACAAAATAAATTTGCTTAGTTGAATTCTATATTTATTTTATTTATTTATAAGTTTTTTAATTACTAATTTACTTTAAAATATGAAATAAATAAATATATTTATATTATATAAATTTTAAATTATTAAAAAATTAATAATTTTTTGCAGGCCAGCCCGCAGGTTGGCTAACCCGCTAGAAAATGGCTTGGGTTAGATTTTTTAGCCCGTTTTATCTAGCGGGATGGCCTAACCCAACCCGCAAAAATGCCAGCCCGTGCGAGATAGCTCACAGGTTGGCCCGTAACTTATTTGCCCAGTGCTATACAATTGTATTAAGCAGTTGAAGGTGACTATAGTTTTACATTAACATTGACGAGTTGTGGATGGTAAAGGATATGCAAGTGTTAGTTGATCATGTTGCTATGGGATTGGGGATTTTAATGATTGCCTATGAATGTGTACCTCTTGCATGAGTGTATATGCTTATGAGCTATGTCAACGTAGCAGCATGGGTACGTCGCTTGCAGGTGTGTGTTGGCTACTACATGTAACCTTAACTGAATAGCACGTGTACCTTACAAGTGTGTGCTGGCCATCTCGTGTTTGGGTTATGTTAGATTTGGGATTAGTATTTGCATACTTCTCTAGGCGGTTTGGGTTAAACCATGGTGTACGGCCATATATGACGTCGTAAATTTGTTTGTGTAACTCCATTGAAAGGGATCGAATGTGAGTGGTTTATATGTACAAATCTTCAATATTATTGCTTTTGAATCATGTATAAGCCATGGTTACTGAGATTTGCAACTCATCCTTGTTATTTGTCATCCCCCAAGTGAAAGCACTAGTAGCATGCGACAGAAGGAATTAACCTTGCTTATTCTATCAAGTTTAATTTCTAATGCTCCTAGAACTTGCCAAGCTTTGAGTTGTTGTAGTTGTAGTTGCTTGGCCTATACCTTTGAATTGAACTTCAAATCTTTGTTTGTTAGATGTTTCTCTTGATGGTTTTAGGAATCAAAAAGGAAAATTTGATATGGGCTCTCAAAGCTATGTGAAACTCAAGGTAGTTTATTGTTATTCCTTAGATGAAAATTAAGGCTACAGTAAAATCAGTAAATTATACCAAAGAATAAATTGTGGTCGGGGGGAAAGGAAAAGAGTACCTTGAATGGCTCTTCCAATGTGAACTGACTTCCATTTAACTTCAAGCAAATTAGCTTCGAAGGAGAAAAATTTGGCGGTAAAGTCATAGAAGGATATCCTTTCCAGTCAAGTAATCTTAAAGTATTTGGAAAATATTTAGAACTTGTTGAAAATTGGGCATTTCGAATGATGAGAATCTTGAGATTATTCATCTTCTCAAATGCTATACCACCCCACTCCACTTTTTCTTGATGAGGTGGATCAAGTATTATTCCTTCAATATTACTGCTTCCCTGTAATGCAAGTTTGCAAAGTAACATTGTTATATATTGCCAAATTAGCACAACAAATTTGATGTATATAACTCTATATATATAAGAATGAAAGAAAACAGACCACAAGAAATAGATTCTTACTGAATTTTCTTGTAGCACTTCAAGAACATCTCTGTAATACCATAATCTACTGCGTTGACCAAGATTTGATGGCCCTTCTTGCCTAACAATCTCCTTGCCCATTTGTTGTATGAGATCATGCATGTACAAGCGACTGCTATTTTCATCAATAGTGATCAGAGATTTATCAACAAGGACTTCAATATAAAACCTTGCCCCATCATCACAAGCTTCTAGTATGTCTTCAATGAATTCTAATGCCTTCTTCTTAAAGAAACAAGCAATATCTAGAAAAACACGCTTAGCACCATCTGGTAAGCAATCATAGCTTATCTTAAGTACCTCATGGATTGTTCTTTCAGGGATTCTCTTGTACTGTTCCAACGTAGATCTCCATTCTTCAAAGTCCTTATGTGCCAAATTGGAGCCTACTAATTTTAAAGCTAGAGGAAGGCCATGTACATATCTAATAACATGATTGGACATATTTTCATAGCCATTTGGAGGTTGGCTCATACGAAAGGCATGCCAACAGAAGAGTTCAAGAGAGCAAAGTCGACTTAGCTCCTTCACTTCATATGTTTTCTCAACATTACGTGCAATGAGCAATTCCTTATTTCTTGTTGTTATAATAATCTTGCTTCCACAACCAAACCAATCACGCCCCCCTGCAAGTTGTTCTAACTGTTTAAACTCATCAACATCATCCAGAACCAACAAAACCTTCTTGCTAGAGAGTCTGTGTTTTATGTATGAGATTCCTTCATCAACACTATTAAGCTGCATTTTCTGTTCCCCAAGAATCTCTGATAGAAGTGTCTGTTGAAGACGAATAATACTTTGATATTTATTTGATTCTTCTCGAACATCAAACAAAAAACATGCACCGTCAAATTGGTAGAAGATTAATTTATACAAAGCTTTTGCAAGTGTTGTTTTTCCTATTCCACCAGTTCCATAAATGCCCAACATACAAACTCGGTCATCAGATTTATCCATAAGTGACATCACTTCCTCTATGCGAGTTTCAAGTCCAACCATATGATCAATGTTCTGGAAGCGTTTAGGAGGTATCATAGAATATGCATGTTCGACAATCCTTTCAATAAAGCCAGATTCACATCTGCAAAAGGAAAAAGAACAAAAGAAAAAAAAATTCACTATGAAGATATTTATGTAAAAGGTTTCTTATGTGCTTCTTTCCTCTTTGAATACATAAGCTCCTCAATTTTTAATCCTATCTCTCCAATATTTGCCTCTCCTCAGTTTAAGGATATCTAAAAGACTCTGGCTGGAAAAGGTAAATTCAATATAAAAAAACATAAATGGTACAAAATTAAACTTTTAAATGTAAAAGCAAACAAATCATTATTGTTGTTATATACAAAATTTATACCAACTTTGTACTATTCACAACATGTGAACAATTTAATTGATGGAAACAAAAAGAAAAAAGAAATAATTGAAAATATTAAAAATTTAAGAAGATTTAAATATTGAAAATATTTTATATTAATTAGGAATATTCTATTTTAATTATTGCATTATTTTAATTAGGGTAAATGAGCAAATTACCCCCTAAACTTTAGATCCAATAGTACCATAAACTTTAGACTCATTTATTATACAAATTGTTCCCTCAACTTTTGAAAAAGATGCAATCTGGCCCTTGCTATTACCAAAAGTTAACTTTGATCATCAATTTGACCTCAAAAATTATAAAAAATGACCAAAAAATTTTTTGATCTTTTTTTGTAATTTTTTAGATCCTTGTCTATAATTTTTGGATTCTTTATTGTACTCGTTTGTCCTTTTTTGTAATTTTTGAGTCTTTATATGTAATTTTTGGATCCTTTATTAGTATTTTTTGATTCTTTTATGTCATTTTTCTAGTCAAATAACGATCAGAGTTAACTTTTGTTGATGTCATGGGCTAAATTGTACCATTTTTAAAAATTGAGAGAATAATTTGTACAATAAATGAGTTCAAGATCTATAATATTATTAATCCTAATATTTAAGGGATAATTTACTTATTTACCCTTTTAATTATTGTTATCTTTATGCATAAAGATAATATTGAAAAAAAATTAATCAATTCCATTCGATCCATTTTATAACAAACTCTCAAACAATAGTCATGTAAAACTATTTGTTCTCATCATAAGTGTTTGTAAGTTTATTTTGAGATGGAATAGGATGAAGAGGAAAGACTAGAAGTTAGATACAATTATTTGAGAGAATTTTTTTAAAAGGGAGTGGAATGGTTTGAAATGACCTTACAAGCCATCCTTAGTCATCCTAAACTCATTTTCTCTTGTCTCACAATTTGGGGTGTTGAGGATGGAATGGCACAATATAAATAATATTATTGAAAAATTACTCCATCCTTCTCACCCCATCTCACTCTTTCACCCCCCTTTCAACATAAAACTGAAAAACATAATTATATCTAATTCAAATATATTAACTTTACAATTATTCTTAAATAATAATTAAATAAAATCATTTATGAATTCCTCCAATAAAACTCTCAAACAATTAAATGTTTTGTTCTATCTTACTCCATCCCACTCCACTCCATTCTATTCTGTTAATAATCATTTATTTTCATTCCATCATATATTCTTAAACATATAAAACTTTCAAACAATGAAAAATTTCATTCCATTCCACTATGTTCTTTTTCATTTAATTCTAAACTCTCAACACACTCTTAGTAAATTTAATCAATAGAAGGCAATTAGAAAATAGTGCAATCAAACCTACCCATCTTCGAAAAGCCATGCTGGTGACAAACTAGCAGCTTCATGCAAAGCGGCCCTCCATTTTTGCACTTTCTCCTGTTCATTCTTGAACCTACCAGCTTTATGATCAGCCATGGCTTCTCCAAAGCTATTTCTTTGCTTCTGAACATCCAAGGGATCCACCTTGTAGAAGATGGGCATCACCACCTGGTTCTTCTGCTTCCTACACCAAACGATGCGGGCAAGTTCCTCGAGGCACCACGTTGAAGTAGCATAGTTGGTGGAGAACACAATAATGGAAATCCTGGATTTCTCTATGGCTTTGAGAAGCGTAGGTGAGATCTCTTCCCCTTTCGCGAGCTTCTTGTCGTCGATGAAGGCGTTGATTCCCTTCCGGCACAGAGCATCGTGGAGACGAACAGTGAAGGTGAGTCGAGTATCTTCACCCCTGAAACTGAGGAAAACATCATATCTATACTTGGTTTTGCTGCTGGTGAAGCCAAGGGATGATGATGGCGCCGCCACTTGAATCGCCATGGTTCTGCTGAGATTTGAAGAGAGAAATTTGCACAATGATTGAAGCGTTGAAGACGGGAGGAAATTTATTGGATGTAGTGAGAACCAATGGTCTCACGAGTTTTTGTTTGACCAGTATCTTGAAGCAATGTTTGTGAAAATAAATAAATATTTTAAAAACTAATTTTACTATGTTAAAATCATAAAATAACAAAATTAAATAATATTTTCGACAGTAAAAATGGTGAAAATTGATCCAAGCTGTGCAGAAGATTTTTTTTTTTTTTGGGGGCTTGGCAAATGTTGCAGAAGGTTATGCCTAGTTTTTTGTTTGACTTTTATCATTTTGGGAAGCAATTGTTTTGAAAATAAACACATAATTAAAAAATCAAATGAAAAAAAATATGAAGTCAAAGTCAGTACATGTTACATTATTGTGTCATAACTTTTCAGTGAATTCTAAGTTAAGTTTTCTTTTTTCTTTTTTTCTTACAGTTTGAAGTCAATGCTTGATGCCATAAGCAATACTCCCTCTGATCCTATTTATAAGTCATTTCTACCAACTTCATCAATACCAATACAATAAAAGTATAAAGAATAAAAGTAAGTAAAATTACAAACATGCTCCTATATAACAAATCTAAAAAGTAATGTCCTGTTACTTTTTCTCTCTCATGAAGGATAATTTTGGAAATACCTCTCAAATATTACCTAAAAAGACGCACCGTGACTTATAAATGGGACCAAATACACTTTCTAAAATTGGACTTATAAATGGGACCGGAGGGAGTACGCGCCAAACAGATAAGAAAGAGCTAGAGAGGGGGCAGACTTTGGAAAAATAATTTGGAAGGATGACATATAAGTTTTAAGAAGATCAATTCATTTAAAATAAGTCTCAAAATATTAAGATTTAAGAATTTGTAAGTTAGACATCATCATAAATTTGTAACTTATATTATAAATTTTAACAATAAAAATAAATTTAAATTATATTAAAATTTAAAAAAAATTATAAATTCATCATAATAAAATTATAAAATTGAGAGTTAAATTCATAAATTTTTAGATCTATATGTGATTCTCTCAAATAATTTTATTCTCAATCTCTTCACATTTGAAGGAAAAAGTTGAAGTCTTATATTTCATTTTTCTTTCCTACTTTTATTTCATCTCATTTTTCTTTCCTCATTCAAAAGGGTGAAGAGTTATTCTTTTTTTTTCTCTCATATTTTCTATCCTTTCAAAAATTAATATTGACGCTACAAACACAAATCTACCGATATATTTTATTCCCTTCAGACCACAACAATTCATTTTTCCACCCAAAAGTATCACATTCTTGGGAATCCAATACCTCTCTATATGATAGACGTGGCAATTTCAAATCCAATAATGACAATATGGTGTCTTGAATTTTGGAAGCGACACAACATTCGATGAATAATTAAAGCGACACAATATCGTGATGTATTATTATGCTTTCTCTATTTTTTAAAAATTATTTTATTTTTAAATATAATAAGTGACAATAATATTTTTAAATAATTAAATAATTTTATTTTTATCTTAAAAAATAAAATAAAATATTAATTATATATTTTTCCTATCACCATCATAATATTTATTATAATATTATTAGGTGTTAAATTGAAAAATTATTGTATTTTTATATAATTTAATTAAATAATAAATTTTTATTGTTATGCAAAATTTGATTAAAAAATTTTATATATAAAAATGGATGTAATATAGACTAAAATACATTTTTAGTTTATATAATTTTTAAATATTAATAAAATATTCATATGTCATTAAATATTTTGTTCCATCAATGTAGAGTGGCTTCATTTACTTTTAAGAAGTCAGTAAAGGAAAAGATGCCTAATTAAGTAAACAAAAGTTAAATTAGGAGATTCAAAAACGATTAAGTAGGGGCTTAAATTTGAGTTAGTGTGAAGGCAAAGCTTTCCTCATTTGTGGGCCCACTCAATGAAAGCCTAGATTACGATCAATTCATGTTACAGAACAGTGAATGCATTTTTCCCCCCTTGAATTAAAAGGTTACAAAAAAACGTGCAGATGATAACTAGTTAACTCATTAAAGCTTGATAAAATTTTGCACATAAAAGTGCATCATCAAAAACATTAATATTTAAATTCTCATGCGAAATTTGATGAGCAAGTCAATTTGTGCATTGTTTGCTTCCCTAACTTAATCAAAAGTGATGATATAATTCTGTATAATCAGATTTTTAATTTTCTTGATAGTATATTGAATAGAGAATGATCCTAAGAAAATTTTCACAGATAAGTGCAAGAGCATGAAGAGTTACGAATGTTGTAACAAGGCCCAAAAAAAAAGTGGTGGGGGAAATAACATACTAAAATAAGTCAACAACCATTTACTCTAAATAAAAAAAATGTCCAAAAATTTGAAATTATGTATCAAAAAAGTCAAACAAAAACGAGGCACATAATCTTCTATCCCACTTGGATCCATTTTCACCATTGATCGAGGAGCCTAGTACTTAGTGGTATTTTTTAGGTTATAAAATTACTTCTTATGCTTATTAAAAATTAAGCTAAGAATATATACTTCTAAAAAATTTGGCCTCGCGCAGTATTATTCATCTTGGTCCGTCCATGTTCGTTTAGTCCTTCAAAGGTTTAATACTAAACATTCTAACTATAAATTTTTTCAGCATAAACTTTTTTCATTTAATTTTTAATTATTGATTTTTTGGTGAATTATTTATTTACATATTTTTTTACAAACAATTGCTTCAGTATATAGGTGAAAAAAAAACATCAGCTTCTACAACATTTGGATCTATTTTCACCATTCGCTGGTGATCATTTTATTAAATTTATTATTTATTATTTTTATAATTATATAATTATTTTAAAAAAATATTTAAACTTACCATATACTATACATATATTATTTTTTAAAAAATTGGCCTCGCAACGGGCATCTTGGCTGGGGCCCATGTTCATTGAGTCTTTTCAAAGGTATAATAATTATTTTTCTTTTTCCTTGGAACCAAATGTTCATGAATATTTGTTTTATTTTGTAAATGTCATTTGCATATAAAAAAACTAAAAAGACTTAAATTGTTTACTTGTATGATTATGAATTTGGATAAAGAATATGATGAACATTGATTGCTTTTTTTTTTCAATTTCAATGGATAATATTTTATTTATATTTTATTATTCATGCTTACTTTCTTTATTTATAGTATAGTTATTTAAAATATGTTAATTTAATCATGATTAGTCTAACTAGAGTTCATCTGAATGAACTGGTCGATCAGGCCAGTTATGTTTTCTCACAAGCATAATTTTTTTCTAAGTAATTTCTTAACCAATCACTATTATTTTGGAAAAGAAAAAAAAGTTGCTTGAAGATAAAAGTCAAACAAAAAACGCGGCATCATCCTCTGCAGTATTTGGATACAGATATTCACCACTGACTTGCGAGACCATTGGATCTGACAACACCCACATCAAATTGATGGAGCATAATTTTTTTCTAAGTAATTTCTTAACCAACTTGAAAAAAAAAAAAATTGCTTGAAGACAAAAGTCAAACAAAAACGCGTCATCCTCTGCAGTATTTGGATACAGATATTCACCATTGACTTGTGAGACCATTGGATCTGACAACACCCACATCAAATTGATGGACCTTCACCTTCCCACCATCTTCCACGCTTCAGATTGTTTGACTATTCAAATCTCAGAACCTTAGCTTTAAACCTTGGCTTGGCTTCACCACTGCGATTATAGCAGCCACCATATGGCGATTCCAGTAGCCTCATCATCATCATCCTTCAGCTTCAACAGTGGAACCAGGTATAGATATGATGCTTTTCTGAGTTTCAGAGGCGAAGATACTCGCCACTCCTTCACTGAGATTCTCTACGACGCTTTGCGCCGTAAGGGAATCAACGCCTTCATTGACGACAAGAGACTTGGCAAAGGGGAAGAGATCTCTCCTACGCTTCTCAAAGCCATAGAGAGATCCAGGATTTCCATTATTGTCTTCTCTACCAACTACGCTACTTCCACATGGTGCCTCGAAGAACTCGCCCACATCGTTTGGTGTAGGAAGCAGAAGAAGCAGGTGGTGATGCCCATCTTTTACAAGGTAGATCCGTTGGATGTTCAGTATCAGAGAAATAGCTTTGAGGAAGCCATGGCTGCTCTTGAAGATAGGTTCAGCGATGACTTAGAGAAAGTGCGAAAATGGAGGTCTGCTTTGTCTGAAGCTGCTAGCTTGTCACCAGCATGGCTTTTTCAAGATGGGTATGCAATTTTTTTTTTTTTTTTGGGGGGCCAAACGTATGCATGTTTGCTATACTATATATATCTCCTAATTAATTGCCTTCTGCAGATCATGAAATTTTAAATACTCTATTTGTAGATGCTAATGATACTAACATGCTATTGAAGATAGTTTTGCTCGTGCAATTCAAAGTTCAATACTTCCTCCGGCCCTATTATATGCACTTTCTACAAGTATTTTTATCCTTGGTGCAACGAACACTATAAAACATTTATTACATTTTTTTCAATATTACTCATAATATAAATTTAAAAAATTTTTACTTAAACAGAGATAAAATTACAAGATTATAACTACATCTTTTTTATTTCAATGAGATAGTTGAAAATGACTTATAATAAAAACTAAAAGAAGCATTCTCTCAAAACTTGGGTATTGAGATTTTTTCCTAGGTATTTAGGATTTTTTTTGTTTGTTTTTAAGAAATATTTAAGGTTTTTAACATAATATTTTCATTTTAATTTTGATTTTAATTTTAATTTTTTAAAAAATTACTAATGAAATCATAAAAAAATATTTTTTATTTAGCAATTGCTAATATGATTACTGCTAGATCGGTTAATTCTGAAGACGAACAATAATCCTTCGGCAACTTTTTTTGGCCTGATTTTTAGGAAATCTATGTTTTTAAGCAGGCAATCTATTGATAATTATTAGCAGTTGCACAATTTTTTGTTCAAGGTTGTTCATAAAGTACTTCGGACTCCGATAGTATTTTGGACATTCGAATATAACTATGCAGAATCAGTTAGCTTTTTACCAAACTAGACATATATTCTTATATATTGATGTATGGAATTTGAAAATTAAATTACTCTGATTCTATGAAAATTAAATTACTGTTATGCTTCGTGAATAGTGTGATTTGGTATATAAATTTTAAATTTGATAGTGACGAAATTTTTTATTATTTTCATACTTAAATTAAAAGTTTAATTTTGTTCTGTATTTTATTCTTTTATATCTATGTTGTTAGCCTGATCTTCGTTTGAATTTACTTAAAACAGTATCCTTTGAACAAGCAAATATTTTACAATTTAACAATTTGAAATAAAAAAACATTCCAAAGGACAATTAAGGACTAAAACATTTGGGAGCTTAGATTGAGCTTATCTATATATTAAAAAAAAAAAAAGACTTCATATTAAAAGGAGATTTTTGTTTGTGTAGATATGATCAGTTTGGGTTTATTGAAAACATTGTCCAAGGTGCATTTGTTACGCTGCCCCCTAAACGCTTTCAAAACACTGATTACACGGTTGGACTTGAGCCTCACATAGAAGAAGTGGTGTCACTTTTAGATAAATCTGATCATCGCGTTTGCATGTTGGGGATTCATGGAACTGGTGGAATTGGCAAAACAACTCTTGCAAAAGCTATCTACAATTCAATCTTCTACAAATTTGAAGGTTCGTGCTTTTTATTTGATATCAGAGAAGAATCAAACAAATTCCAAGGCATTGTTCGTCTTCAACAGACACTTCTATCAGAAATTCTTGAGGAAAAGATGACATTTAGTAGTGTTTATGAAGGAATATCCAGAATAAAACACAGACTTTCTCATAAACAAGTTTTGTTGGTTCTTGATGATGTTGATCACGATGAACAATTAGAACAACTTGCAGGAGGGTGTGATTGGTTTGGCAATGGAAGCAAGGTCATTATTACAACAAGAAATAAGCAATTGCTAATTTCTCATAATATTGAACAGACATATGAAATGAAGGAGCTAAACAAGCATGCCTCTCTTGAACTCTTTTGTTGGCATGCCTTTCATGAGAGCCAACCTCCAAAAGGCTATCAAGATATGTCCAATTGTGTTGTGACCTATGTACAAGGTCTTCCTCTGGCTTTAAGATTAATAGGCTCCAATTTGGCACATAAAAGCTTAGAGGAATGGAGAACTACATTAAAACGATATGATCTGATCCCGAAAAAAAAAATTCACGAGGTACTAAAGATAAGCTATGATTGCTTACAAGATGATGCTAAACGTATCTTTTTAGATATTGCTTGCTTTTTTAAAAAGGAGAAATTGGAATTCATCGAAGAAATACTACAAGCTTGTGATTATGGAGCAAGGTTTTATATCGAAGTTCTTGTTGAAAAGTCTCTAATAACTATCAATGATGAGAATGGTCGCTTGTATATGCATGATCTCATACAACAAATGGGAAGAGAGATTGTTCGGCGAGAGGCACCATCAGATATTGGTAAACGTAGTAGATTATGGTATTATAAAGATGTACTGAAAGCATTGTGTGAAAATTTAGTAAGTATGGAAATCTTTAATATGTGTTTCCACGTATACATTAAATTTATCAAGTACAATTTGGCAATGTCTAACTTTTTTGAACATGCATTATAGGGAAGCAACAAGATTGAAGGAATGATGCTTGATCCACCTCAACAACAAGGAGTGGAGTGGAGTGGCTTAGCCTTTGAGAAGATGAATAATCTTAAAATTCTTATTGTTCGAAATGCCCAATTCTCAACCAGTCCTAGATATTTCCCCAATAGCCTAAGATTACTTGATTGGGAGGGATATCCTTCGATGACCTTGCCACCAGATTTTTCTCCAGCAAAACTAGTTTGTTTCAAGTTGTATAGAAGTCTTTTCAGCTTGGAAGAACCATTCAAGGTACAATTTTTTATACCCATTATAACTCTAAAAATTATAAAATTCATTTCATTAATACTCAAATAATTTATTATTAATTAAGACAATAATTTGCAATCATCTAAATATTTTAAGGATATGTATCATTTAAGACAAATTTCCAACAAACAAGCTAGTTTTTCTGCCAACTAACGAGCAAGATAATTAATTATTATTTTTTTTTTGGCAGAAGTTTGAACATGTGACACATATGGATTTCTCACATTGTGAATTCATAGCTGAAGTACCTGATATGTCTCAATT